TCGCTGTGAATACGTTTGGCTGCTTCCTTAGATTTATTTCCTCGGGAATGTAATTCGTCCTTTTCTTAACTTCTGTATATAACGCGCGCACGCACGGTATAACGTTCGCGTACAACTGTTCCGAACTTATCCCTTATATACCGGGAATAAACGATTATGCGGGCCGAGGAATTCAGTGATTCCGAAACGATGCTTTCGCTACCGAATATTGAGACGATCTGCCTCGCGCGCTTTCTTCGACGCAAGCACAGACCGGAATCAACAAAACACGATCGGCCTGACTTTCCTCGCCGCGCTCCCCTGGCCTTTGTCGCTACCCGAGCGCTGTTACTAACTTCTCGCTCTATCTTACAACTATCTAAACAAAGATACTACTTGGGTTTCTGCGGAGAATGCGGAGTAGCGCGGAGTAGTGCGGAGAGCGCGTGGCAATGTACGCGTAACGCGACGGTCGCTTGTTATGTTTGACCGTCCCACCGCGGGTGATCACGGTGATAGCACAGTATATACAGTAGCGCAACTCTCTGTCGGCGCCTTTGAAGTTAGTGTTGTCCAAAATGGAGTGCGCATGCGCGAAATAAGTAAGCGCCCACTAATACCAACTGAACGGCCACGTACAGCAGACACAACTATTGAGTGTCGTCTTATCGACACGCTACGCTGATTCGTTGGGTCTAAAAGTATAAGAGCCAATCACGTGCTATGCTACTGAGCGGTTTTGCTGAACGCGCCCAACGTCTTTCTCTGAACTTCTTTCTCAATTGCTCTTCCTTTCTCCGCTCTCACTCCACTTTTACATGAAATTAATCTGAATTTAATGAAAATAATGAAGATAAATATTTATTATGTATTAAAAATAAGAAAAAAAAAATTCAAAAATGAGAAAAAATAAAATTATATAAATGTGATTGTGCAGATTGAATAAGATAAATGTATTGAGGTAAATTACTAGAAAATATAATATTTTATACATTATACTTATAAAAAAACAATTATAATTATAAAATATTTAATATAAAATAGTTTTATTACATTAAATGAAATAAATGAATGATTTAATTATGCATCCAAAATAAAAATGAGATATATATTCATGCTTAATTTAAAATGCAATAAATGAAATTTTAATTTTAATACAACGATATGTTAATATTACATTTTAAAATAATTTTATGTATACCTATACAAAAAAAATATACCTGTAATAAATATAACTGCAATAGATTAAAAGTACATGTTTTATTAATAAATATAATAAAGAAACTACATTTTTTATGTAAAATAAAATTGTATCTTTATTACAATACATAAGAAATTACATATTATGTATTACCAAATTGTAGTCTTTTTTTCTTTTAATTTATTCACTGCTCCATGCTTCAGCTACTCGATCCACCTCAACACAGACCAGAGAAACAGAACAAAAAAATACATTAAATAACACTTTATTGTACAATTCTTTCATTGATCTGTATCTCAGCTACTCGATCCACCTCGATACAACCCAAAAAAAGAAAAGGACAATAAAAGTGCAAGCTACAATAATTACCGTACAATAATGTAGAACAGAAAATACTTAAAATATAAACAAGGAATCTATAAAATGTAATATTAATAAGCTCCATTTCTTCTCCAAGTTTTTCATTCGTATAACCTTTTGATTATTCATCCTTCAGGCACGTAAGAACTTAAAAAAAAAAAGAAAAAATAATTAATTAATTAAATGTATCACTAACAGTATTCATGCCTTTACAAATACACATGCACCATCGTCCATACATATATATATACATACATATATATATTTAACACACACGAATACATGAATTTATGTAACATACACAATATAAAATTTAATAAGTAACGTAATGTATAAAAGTCTATTAATGCACACATATTAATACATATATAGCAACGCATAATTTCAACGCACAATATGAACGCATAATATAAAAACACAATATCAATATTAACGCAACTGAAAAAATTGCACATACATATGTTGCCATTAATTAAAAATAAAATGTAAAACGCAACAATACAATCAATACATTATTAAATATAATATAAGTTAAACAATATAATTTGAAAATAAACAAAATGCAATAAAAAAACATGCAAAGTTATATATAATGTTATTTGCAAGCAAACAAAACATGCAATAAATAAACACACAATACTGGGTAAGTAATATATCACAATCCATTATAAGAATAAGAATCAATGAAACAGTAGCCTCAATAATTAAAATATGCCCGTAAAACATAACTCAACGTGACAATTAAACATTGTAAGAAGAAAATTTATAAATGGGAAACGTTTAAAAGTTTCCTATTTTTTGTGGTAACCCGTTTGCATGATTTATTATGCAGCGATAATGTGTAATATATACACGGAGAAAAAAATCTTACCTCTGTGGTATGAGCGCCTTCCATGCATAAAAAGCATGTAGCGCTGCCTTGCATCAAACGCATGAATTTGTCCGTTTAAAGTACTTTAAAGCATGAAGTAGGATATTATCCTTGCCTTAAACGGACAAATTCATGCGTTTGATGCAAGGAAGCGCTACATGCTTTTTATGCATGGGAGGCGCTCATACCACAGAAGTAAGATTTTTCTCTCCGTGTACGCATACGAAGATATAATTTTATCAAAAATGAAGTAGGGAAATTTGGACATGGCGGTTCAAAAGTTATACTTTGTGTTAATTGGAATAAATAATTGCCAATATTTTTCTGGAAACAATTCTTCTCAAAATTTTTTACAAATACTTCTTCTAATTTATGAATATAATAACAAAAGTCATTACTTGGTATGTTTAACTTCCCAAACAAATTTCCTTCTTCGTTTTCATAGGCTCGAAAAGAACAATATAATGTTGTATTATCTAAGATAGCCATATTATCATTCATATATTTTGTACATATATCACAAGAATGTATTGCCGTACATCTTTTAATTAAAAATCCGCAAACATATTTAAATGCGTTTTCTTCTGGCAGATCCATTGAACGATATTCATGAGTCGGAATATTTAAAATGTTATGCGCCGATGATGAAGCAGTAAATTCCGAAACAGTGGACTCTTTGTTATTATCTAACGTTCCAATAAGATTTAACATATCATCATTATCAGAAGCACAATTTTGCGTATCCGAATGTTTTAATAATGTTGTACTAAAAAGTTTTTTAAAGGCGCGCTTAAATTGTATAGGTGTCGGATTAAGACAATTACCGCCTTGTTTCCGAACGGAACCAAAAAAATTTTCGACACAATCTTGATTCAATCTACGTGTTCGGAGATATGGAAAATTATGATTTTTTAATGTTTCCCAAAGCTGAATGATGCTATTAATTGTTATCTGCCAGCATTCAAAGCATTTAACTTTTACATATTTACCATTATTATTATTATTATTAACTACTTTAATACTTTTTATAAGATCTGACATTTCTTGCAAAAACTGCATTTGTTTTTCACTTCCGGTAAAAACTTTTCCATGTTCTTTAGGATTATTTACGGCGGACGAATTTAACATATCGAACAACTTATCAAAATGATCAATTAAATCTATAGTTCCAACGACTTCAGTCGGAAGAAGACCGACAGACATCTGTGTACACATTCCTGCACATACATGGTTACTAAGTACTTGTACGGCATATTTGACTTTCATTCTCATAAAGTTATTTGGGTCCATATGAATTTTTGATAATTTAGGAGCTGCTCTTATCCATTGTTTGACGTCTTGCATATAAAACTGTCTAATATGATCCCACGAAGCTACTTTATTATTAAATTCAAAATTATGTTTTAACAAATTATTTCGGGTTGCTTTTATTAAATGTGGAGTGTCAAAAATGTAAACTAAATTTTCTCCGTTAACTGAAAAAGTTGAATTTTGTGTAGATATTCCTAAATCACGGGACAGTTGTATAAAATTAGAACCCATGTCCGTAACCAATGCATGCACCATAGCACCTGTATTTCTTAATTTAATTATTGTATCAAATATCAGATTTTTTAAAAAGTTCATATGGCATGTAGTCTCTACAAAACAAAAAACAATAGGCACCTTCCAATTACCTGCAATACTACGTGCCATAATAACTAAAGCGCTTCTTGCAGGTTTAGATGATTTTTTATCACCAATGTCTTCGAAACCAATTATTTCATCCCGTGATATATTATAAAATAAATGAGCTTTTAAACTCATTTCGTCTGCACATATTATGCAATGACGTTCTACGAGAGGCAACGTATTCAATTTCAATTTAAGTGCTTCAAAAATTTTATCATTTATACCAGGCTCAATATTCCATTTTTGCGTAAATAATTGTAGAGAACGTACAGAAGGCAATGCAATTGAATCTTTCAATTCCCGGTACATTCGTGGACTTAAAAAAAATAACGATAAAGCAAATTTCTTAAATTCGGGATCATATCTTCTGCCACGTTTACATTTTAATTGTGCGTCGACTTGTGCCGCTAATATTCTATTAAATTTTTCCGGTAATAACTTACGGCCTAGTTTTATTAGTTGATCAAATTCGTTTTCTTCTTCAACTTTTGTAGCTTTCTTCTTCTTTTCCATACGAAGCCGTCGGATTGTTTCACGCATTACTTTATTTTGCGCCTTTAATTTTTGGAACTTCTCTCGCAATTTCCTTTTTCTCGGGCTATCATCGGACGATTTAGTCCTAACTGCAGGCTTCTTGATAGTGGATGTGCTCCTGTAATATATTCCAAACGTTAGATCATAGCACAAAGATTATTTTTAAATATGATATATGTAATTATGTAACTATTTTGCTGTAAGAGACAAAAACAGCAAAATAATATTAAATAAAATCTAAAGTTAAAAGAACTTTAAATATAATATGTGTTAATAAATAAATTACATATATCCTGACAATTATATTTTATAAGAAAACTTTTATTACATAACAAATAAAGAAAATAAAAATACATGTTTAACTTTAAATTAGTAAAGAAAAACTTACGGTTGAGTTATTTCTACGTCACTGACAATAATTGGGACGATTGTTTGTGAAGTTTCTGCTTTGCTGAAAATATACAATTTTTTTTCTTTTAGCCATTATTGTTAACCCTCAGTTACCTTACGTTTTTACACCCCGATATTACCTCACCAAGGTCTGAGAGACCCCTGCCATTTTCTCCAGCTTGTATCTTCAAGACAAATGCATCAATTTGAAGTCTTTTTTTTTAATACATGCGTCTTTTAAAGATCTACAAGACTGTGCAAGTTAGATTATTCCAAGTTAAAAAATGTAAATGTTATTTAAAAAAAAAGGAAGACGTGTTTTTCTAAAAAAAACGAAAAACTGCTTTTTTTCAAATTGATGTAGTACTGATTAAAAAAAGATACAAGAGTTTTATGAATGTCTTAAAAACCCTGTTTTAACAATGTGCAGGGTCTCTCAGACCCAGGTGAGGTAACTGAGGGTTAATAAACGTAAACAAGTCCTTTATTAATATAAATTACTTATTATCTTCTTGCACTTGCATTTCTGCAACAGTTGCCTCAGCACATGTATTTCTGCAACAAAAAATATGCATCATATAATATCTATTATAAAATATAATATTATAACAAATAAAAAATTTATATTTAGCATACCTATCTACTTTCTCTTTAACCACATTTTCCTCACTTTGTTGTGTTGTTTGTTCGGGTGCTGTGTTGTCCCTAAAAGATTTTAATTATTTTATGTTTTTATGTTACTTTCGCGTAATACATAAAAAATAATGTAAATATTGTTAGATATTTTTGCTATTATTATTTTTTATGTACTACTACTTTATACCAGTATTATTCAATTTTATACTTTTTTATGAAACAAAACTAATTTAATTAAATTAAAATATGTAAAATTAATAATTATTTGTTAGTAAAAACTCACTGTTGTTGAAAACCTGGTCCAAAAAATATAGTGGGTACAGCATCTGGGTGAAGACGAGCCCTAACTTTATTAATTTTGTACCATTTGTTTTCAAAATGCAAATGGCACAAACGACAATTCTGGTGGGCATATTCTGGACCTTTAGGTTCTAGATCCAGCCTTCCACATGCTCGTACCCATTGCAGCCATCTGTAAATGTTGTACCATTTTACCAATGACAAAGTAATGCACACATTACAATTAAAAATATAATTTATATAAAAAATAATAATATTATATAAAGCAATGTGTTATACCTGTCTTGTTCCTTTGGAAATTTAAAAAAATGTCGTTGCACATCAATGAACTTCTTAACGCATTCTGGTACTGCACAGTTTGGCTTTCTTATCGCATTCATTTTTAATTATTATGCAGCAACACCTGAAACAAAGCTAAGATCAAAGTGCTTCCAAGAGAATTGAAAACTTATATAATATTTATATAGGTTAACTATTCCCTTAGAAAAAAATTTCTCTTTTATGTTTCCTTCGCTTTTATCACTTATATCACTTATTTCACTTTCATCACTTTCTTCACTTTTCTTCACTTCATTCTTTCACTGTCTTTATACTTTGTAAACTCTTTTCACTTTAATCACATAAACGTATTCAGAGTCTGTCAAACACTTCTAACAGCTCTCAATAGCATTCAGTGACTAATTGAGCTAATTCCCTCCAAATTTCTGCTCCAATACAGATAGGCATTTATTTAACTGACCATTTAAATTTTAAGAGGGAGCGGAGCAGAACGGAGAAAGGAAGAGCAATTGAGAAAGAAGTTCAGAGAACGACGTTCAGATGGGGTTAGTGAGCGCTTACTTATTTCGCGCATGCGCACTCCATTTTGGACAACAAGAAATCA